GTTCAGTAATTGAATGTTACTTGTTTGTTCCCTAATTGTTTTTCTTATACAATTTGTCTAAATTTGTTACAGAATAGTAGTTGAAAAGTCAATTGTTCAATATTATTTTTTATAATTGTGGTAGTGAGTTATTTTTAGTTCATGTCCCAATTGTAAACAGTTTGGTGAAATATTTTACAAATTAGGAATTGTTATTTGATCAATTCATGTAAACTTGCTCTTTGGGTAGTATATTCAAAACTTCAGAAATGCTTTTAACTTTTCATGTTAAAACGCACATTTTGCCAATTAAAAATTTTTAATTGGTAGCATTTTAGAAATATGATACAAACAATATTTTAACTGTGAATTATTGGTATTTATTTAATAATTTAAAGTAGGTTAGCTTGAGACGAAAAGTTTACTCTTATTTGCTGGTTTGTAGAGGAATGTTACTTTATTCTAAAACTAACACTATGTTTGGTTTTGCACTATGTATTTTGTTAACTGTGGTAGCCTTCTAAAGCTCGTTGGTAACATAGTGGTGACAGCTTTTCGATGTTTACTATCTATTGCACTTATTTCCTACAATGTACTCTTATCAATTCTTAAATTTTTAATTAAATAATAACTCAGGTTATTTTTAATTAGTTGGTAACGGTTTAGAGTCTGTGAAAATTAGAGTCGAAGGGCTAGAAGATACACAAATAGATCACAAAACACGACATTGATGTTTCAAAGGGGGAAAACAAATAATGGTGCTAAACTAAACACATATTTTTGTGTGTTTTTTTTTTTAGTGATTAACAGCTGTTGATACCAACAATGGAAAGAGCATGTTTTGATTTTTGTTTTGATGTGGTGCATCTTGTGTTGGCTACTTCATAAACTGTGGCAGACTTGTTTATTATACACATTTGTTTTGTGTATTGGTGTTTGCTCAAACTGGAGCTGTCAAATGAAACGTCCTAGGATACTTCAGAAAGAATTCTAGATGTTACTGCATATGTTGGGTGTGGACATTAGCACATGACGGATCCAGTTTGAGTGAACCGATACACAAAAACACCTTTTTTGCTATGTGATAGCACAGAAAACATATTACTATAACCCAGAATGCCAACCGCATGGTAAAAAGCATTAAGTGTTTTGAGAGAGCTTTGCCTGTCAATCGTAGGCAGCGCCACCAGCGTTGCCATGCACTCAGCATAGCAACGCTGGTGGCGCTGCCTACAATTGACAGGCAAAGCTCTCTCAAAACACTTAATGCTTTTTACCATGCGGTTGGCATTCTGGGTTATAGTAGTATGTTTTCTGTGGTGATAGGCATTTAATAAACAAGGCTGTCACAGTTAATGAAGTAGTACCATAGATAAAACATAGTCCCTTAGTAGATTTCCAATCTTTATAGAACAGCTGAAGCCAATTTTATTGTTAGTTCTGTCCGGTTTTCTGTAGATACCAGGTTTTGTTTACAATTTGTTTCTATTATTTTAGGGTTGGTTTCTCATTATTTGTGTCTCACTGTTTGGTTATTTAGACTTACATAACTTATATATCTAGTGAACGAGTTATTGTTTATGATTAGATAGTTTTATTTGGTTAAACGAGGTTTTAAATTACTGAAATAACAAGAAACAAATTGCAAACAAACATCTACAGAAAACCGGACAGATCTAACAATAAAATTGGCTTCAGCTGTTCCATAAGGATGGGAAATCTACTAAGGGACTATGTTGTTGTATTAATAGTCAAAGGTTTTATCTATGGTAGTTTACCTGTTTAGTTAAACCCCAATATTTTAAAAACTCGGTGTAAACACAAAACATCAGTGGTATATTTAGTGATCTATTTGTATATTAGCCCCTAGCCTGTAATGTTCTCAGGTATGGTTGAACACAACCTTTTCAACATAATTCCTTGTCAGTCACTCGGGATGATTTTCTAATATAATTAGAAGATATACAGGGTGATCAACTCAAGGAGGCCACCATTGGGATATCGGAAACGGTAAGAATTAGAGAAAACTTTAAATGGGGGACATTCCTTTATTTTTTGTGGCAGTTAAAAATATGATTTTATTTTTTCGAAATTCAGCCGCCATTTTCCAAAATGGCGGCCAACTTTGAAATTTTTTATAGAACACCATATATTTTATGATGTTTTAGGATAGAACAGGCAATTTAAAAACTTTTTTATTCTTGACATTTTTTTGATAAACCCACTCGTTTAGGAGTTACAGTCTATGGAAAAATGACTTCCGGTGTACATTTTACATCATGTAGCTCCTAAACAAGTGGGTTTATAGCGAAAATGCGAAAAGTAAATAAGTCAAATAAGTCTTAAAATTGCATCCACATTCCAAAAAGACCATAAAATTCGGTAAAACTATTAATTCTATCAATTTCAAAAATGGCGGCCATTTTCCAAAATGGCGGCCATTTTCCAAAATGGCAGCAAACTTGAAAAGTGGAAAACTGTGTATAGCAAAGAGTAAACAAGTCAAAGAAGTCTTAATATTGCATCCACATTCCATAAAGACCATAAAATACACAGTTTTCCACTTTTCAAGTTTGCCGCCATTTTGGAAAATGGCCGCCATTTTTAAAATAATAGAATTAGTAGTTTTAACGAATTTTATGGTCTTTTTGGAATGTGGATGCAATTTTAAGACTTATTTGACTTATTTACTTTTCGCATTTTCGCTATAAACCCACTTGTTTAGGAGCTACATGATGTAAAATGTACACCGGAAGTCATTTTTCCATAGACTGTAACTCCTAAACGAGTGGGTTTATCAAAAAAATGTCAAGAATAAAAAAGTTTTTAAATTGCCTGTTCTATCCGAAAACATCATAAAATATATGGTGTTCTATAAAAAATTTCAAAGTTGGCCGCCATTTTGGAAAATGGCGGCTGAATTTCGAAAAAATAAAATCATATTTTTAACTGCCACAAAAAATAAAGGAATGTCCCCCATTTAAAGTTTTCTCTAATTCTTACCGTTTCCGATATCCCAATGGTGGCCTCCTTGAGTTGATCACCCTGTATAGGTACTTTTACTGTCAATAATTTCCTGTCATGATAACAGGTAGTTGACATTCCAGCCCATGTGCAAGGTGTGATGTTAGATTACGGGGTCAGGACCGTGTGCCAGTTGGCTGGCTGCCCTCAGGGCTGTTCGGTGATTTTGCCTTTGTCTTAAATGATTTATCAACTATTATCTACTATTTAACCACAGAAACACTCTTACTATCGTTTAGCCGATTAAAAATAGCAATCAGCAATTTTTTTAATCCTTGTGATTAATTTTTCTATTAGTCAATTTATGTTGAAAATTAAAAAATACTTAGGACAGAATTTTGAATATATAATTTTGAACAAGATTTTGGTTATGTGTTAAGTATATTTTACAGACTCTGAAATAGCGCTTTAAATTCAGTTTCTCTTTATTTTCAAACCAAACTTTTGTAAATGTTAATTTTATTAATATGTAGATATGCATGTAGTGGTGCACTGTATTCTTGCCGTATAAGGTTCAAAGATTTGTTTTTAACCTGAAGTCCAAAGTATGTTGATTTTTATTTTTTTATGACTGTGAGGTACTTTTTTTTATTCTTCTTTACCTGTCTGTAGTTGCTTTTAAAAGCTAAATTTAAGTAGAAGTTACATAATTCAGCCCTTAATAGCTTAAACGCTCCAATAATCTGGCTTGATTGCATCTATGAAAAAAATGCTTAACAAATTTAGGGTATTTAATTTCATATTTAAGTACAGTATAATACATTACACTTTACTGCAATATGAAATGACACACATACATTCAGTACTATACACTATGTATTATTGTATTGTATGTACAGTAATTAATCATACTCAAAACCAAAAACCACCACTTCGGTACCAGTATGTGACAACAAATCGAGGAACGAAACACAGAGTGATAAAAAAAATTAAAAGTTGTGAAGTATTTTATTTTTAGACTGTTCCAGTACAGGCAAATCTTTATGAAAAAATCTTGAAAATGTAGAATATAAAACAATTAAGTAAAACATTTTTTATCAATGAGATAGTGCTTTACGCAAGGATTGCTTTGGCAAAGAAAATCGGATACTTATCTCGTTATGATAGGATAATGTGAGTACTGAAAATACACCAAATGTTAGGTACTTTGTCTGTTTTAATGATCACTACGTAAATTATTTATTTAGACACCACTATTTCATTATTAAAATTGTTTTTGTTCCAGTAAAACTAATTTTTTAATTGTGGAACATGAGACTGTAATAGTTGTGCATCTTGGGTCTTTTTGTGCTGTGAATAGCACTCTATTCTTTGAGCCCGGAACTGTTATTTAAGAATTTGCACACCTTTTAAGGTACAAAGTACAATCTATTTTGTTCATTTTTCAGCATTTCAAAAACATTTGTTCTTAAGTTTTGTTTTTGCTTTTCTGTCCAGCTTTTGAAATTTTGAAATAACGTATCTAATGTTTTTGGTTTTTTTTGTTGAAAAATATTTATTGAAACCCTTTTATTCCTTAACTGCTTTATGACTGGAGATAAGAAAATCCTTAGACCTTTTATAAGTACTGATTAATTTAATGACTGCACTTTGAATTTTTATTATATGACAACGAGTAACCTTAAGTCTGATCAATTGATGTTTTGAAATTTCATTTATTTATTAAAATAGAGCTTAGATTTATAAAATCCTTGTACAGGTAGGTTAAAAGAAGCTTGTGTTAGAAATGCTTATGTGTGTTGCTAGATCCGCAAAAAATCTTCTGTCTACTTACTTTCGCTTACAATCTTTTTGTTGTTAAATGTAACTTGTGTAACGTCTGATATTTTCTAGCCTACTTTGTAGGTATTCTAGCTCTACTAGTAACTGATTTTAACTAAAGCTTTTAGCTATGATTATGCATAGTGTCTACAACATTTGTACACACTCAGGAGTAAAGAGTAAAGTGTAGTCGGTTGTATATCCTGACATAATCAGACAATGTTTGTAAATGACAGGTCGTAGACGAGTCTACAGTCAGTAAACTCCCAGATCAGGCTCCCCAGCATGCTTCCATAGTCAAGGCCGAGTGGTTCTGGGCATCGGTACAGAATGAGGGCTGCGTCGATGAGAAAGACTACCTCTTCGAAGATGTGAGTACTAACGTTAATACTGTTTTGGGTTATTTTCTAAGTTTTTTTTTTTTTAAACATGGCGTATAATAGATAGTTCACGTTGTCCACTAGGATTAGGCTTACTATAAGTCTCAATTTTTACCTGGATCATAAAAAGGTCACAGATTTTAATTTGAATGCCTTCAATTTTTCCTCCACTGAAAATTAACATAGGGGCCTACGGTCAAGTGGATGTGGGTTATTTGTATTTTGTCGATTGTGTCTCTAATGAAACTACTCAGTACGAAATAGTACAATAATTTATACATTTAAAAAAAAATATTTTTATTAGATGTATGTGAGACTGAAATTTACCAACTAGCTTAGCTTTTGGAAAAGCTTGAGACAGCTGAACTTTTGTACATGTTGTATCTATAAAATAATGCGGTCTAGTTAGGCCTAGTCTTCTGGTCATGAATTTATACAATAAAACAAGGAAACAAATATATGTAAAAATTTGCTTGATAACCTTTTATCTATATATACTTATTTAATACGCAAGCAGATCTTTTGTGACAATTACTCCTCCGAAACTACTGAACCGATTGTCATGTTTTTGGTGTCATTGGAAAGAGCGTAGCGTGAAGTTGTGCAGGAAACTTTCTTTTTAGGGAAATAGTGAGAGAGTGAGGCCCTGGAGCCCTTTAAAGTTTCTTATTTCTCCATAAGATTAACATGGGAAACAAAAATTGTTATGAAACTCCAGCTGTTGTCAGAAATCAAAAGTGAGAAGAAGAGCATAGGTTAATTGTAAACAGTCAATAAGTTTGCTAATAAAACAGGTTGCTGCAAATATTTGCTGACTTGGTTGAAGTTCGTTTTAAAATAACGCCTGTAATACTTAGCAATTGCTCGAATTCGAGCAACAGGGACACTAGTTTAAATTAAATTACACCGGCCTTGTTCCATCTTCTCCTATACCCCAACTGTATCCTTATCCCCCACTCCTCTGTCCTGGGCAGAACACAGAGGTAACCTGGTTGTGTGCTCAGTACCTGGAGAGTCTGGTGAGTCCGTCGCGTCGCACAACTCCCCTGGCGCCAACGTCACGTGCTCGTAAGCGCAAACGGCTGCAGGAGGCAGTGGCCAGGCTAGCTAGTGGCGCTGGCGTGTCACCGGCCACCAACAAGCGGAGGAGCTCAGTCAGCGACGCAGGGCTGCTCAGTGTTAGCGGCAGCTTCCTCGACTGCACCAATAGTCCGGCCACTAACCTCTCCGATGGTGAGTTGAGAAACGTTTTTCATTAAACCGTTGTCTGACCTATTTGGCCATTGTGTATTGATTAACTCTTTATTATCATTAACTTCTTTGATTATTGATAGAAGTAAGATTTCCATTACCGTTTTGAGGCTGTTACCAGTTTTAGTGTGTAAATTAACTTGAATTGAACCACTCACAGAGATGTAACTGTGATGTAATTTTCAATTTTCTGATTTTTAACTGAGCGAAACTGTAACTTATTAGAATTGTGAAATCAATTTTTACTTACAGTGGTAGTCTAAATAAACAGCCCTTGCTTAAGTTTTAGAACAAATGGATAGCAGCTAGCTTACTGCTTGAAAAATTCCAGGTAGTACACACAGAAATCACTCAATATTGTGGGACTTGGTAAAATGTAGGCAAGTCCCCTAGGAGATAAAGTGTTGTGTGTTTTCTGTTTCTTTTGTGTATACTTTAAGCTACACACATCTCATCTTTGGTTCATAATAAATATCAGAATCCCTAGTTATTGTGATTGCTGATCCGCTCACAGTAAAGATTTGTTGTGTTCAGTAGGAGATGCAGAACCTACCAAGGTAGAGACTCCACTCAAGAACCTCAGCCCTAGACACCAGGTGTTCCTGGAACTGGTCCAGACAGAGTTCAACTATGTCAACACCCTCAAGACTATCATGACGGTAAGTCTACTTCAGATTGGTAACATTAATTCAGTAAGATAAGCTTATAACAACGTAAATAAACATATAACCTTAATATTGTACTGTTTGGTCGTTACTTGTTAGTTAGTGGTCACAATATTTACATAATTACATGTAAGCCAACAAGAATGTGTTGATGATGAACAACAATCAATAATACCAATGCTGTTAAATATTCTCAATATTGAAGTTTTTTGTGAGAAAATTGTACTTCTGATATTTTTGACTCCCTCCGCTCATGAGGTACTTTATCCCTTCAAAGAATGTATTTAAAATGGTTTAATCTGTGTCTAACTAACAATGAATTGAGACTGAGGTGTTGTTGACAGCTGTACAAGGAACCACTGGAACAGATGTGTGAGACGCCCGACCAGCTGTTGAGTCCTACAGAGGTGAAGATCATCTTTGGCCATCTGCCGCCCATCTATGAGACTCACTGTCGCATGCTGGAGCAACTTCGTCATGCTGCTAGTCACTGGACGGAGGACACGAGCATCGGCAACATCATACTCAACTTTGTAAGTTGTAACAGGAGTTGGCTAACTGTAATAGGAATATAATTGAATTAGGTAGGTAATTAAATTGTATAACGTTTTTTAATAAGCTGCCTGAAGAAGCAAAATTAGTTTCTTACGGTATTTTTAAAAATAAACTGTATGACTGGATTGTTAAAAATCCCTTTTACAAAATTGATGACTTTTTAAGTTGTGAAATAAATATTAGATTTTGAAGAGTAAGTTGAAATAAAGCTTTTATTTTCATGTAAGTGGCTATTTAAATTTAGATATTGTACTGTAAACACTGAATCGCCTTGTAACTATGTATAACAAATGACGTGTCCTATTTCTTTTTTAAAGATCTATGGAAATAAATATTTCTTATTCTTATTCATATAAGGCTTGTCACAACAAATTGTCAACCCTAAAAAAAAATTGTCTAACCTAACTAGAATTCACTAAGTTATACAGTACGATTACAGTATGATTTGATATGAGAAGCTTTTTGGAGGAGCTCAACCTATTGATCATATTTCCTTCAAACACTTTATTTTCCTTCAGAGTCTAACTCTTTTATTTAGCTCCAAAAATAAACACCAGGCTAATCCCTAGGATTCAATAAGACATTTATTAGTCACTCAACAAATACAACAGACATTGTCAAGACTAATAGCCTAACTGTCAATAACTAAACATATAAAGAACTTTTTGACTGAAAGCCCCTTTTGACCAAAACTTCTCCAATCAACACTTAATGTAAGGGCCTTTGCCAAATTACATGTCACCAGTACTCGCCTAACCTTTCCTTGGTTCATTGGGCACCCCGCCCCGGCTGACTGTCCCTCTTCCTAACCTCAGGTAGGTAGTCTAAAACCCTTCCAGCAGGCCTCCTGGCTTATAAAGACTAACCTTCATTGCATATATACAACTGTGCTAATGTCAAATCATATCGCAATATTGAACTACAGTAGACACACTATTCACAGGTAGATTAGCCACCATCGCAAAAAAAAATCAAAATCAAAAATATACTATACACATTAAATGTACCTTATACAGTAACGATCTAGGTGTTAAGGGTGAAAATGTCCATCATCTCACAAGAAGACATCTTCAACGACCACCGATGAGTTACATCATTTCCAAAAGCACAACAGATTCAATTAGTTACAGTTTGTGTGTATATTAATATTTGTTATTACTAGGCCTTCACATAGGCCTTCCCAATATCATTTGCTTCGTAAATATATGCATGTAAAACAAAGTTACAAGGTATATACATTACATTTTAAATTGTTTCCTTTATTATTTGTTATTACTAGGCCTTTACATAGGCTCCCCAATATCATTTGCTTCCGAAATATATGCATGTAAAACAAAGTTACAAGGTATATACATTACATTTTAAATTGTTTCCTTATTAACTATACGTGTATTAGATATTTCCCAGAATTTTGAGGTTAGGTTTGCGTTATCTGCAACTCAGCCACTCATTACTGTGGATGGGAGTCTACTTTACAGCCCTAAAGCAACTTGTTTGTCTGCAGTCGGGAGACCTAGTGAAGGCGTACCCTCCGTACGTCAACTTCTACGAGACCACCAGAGAGATGTTGCTGAGATGTGACCAGACCATGCCCAGGTTCCACGCCTTCCTCAAGATAGGCCAGACCAAGCCAGAGTGTGGCCGGCAGAGTCTACTGGATCTGCTGATACGACCAGTGCAGCGGCTGCCCAGCATCAACCTGCTGCTCAATGGTAAACATAAATTAGTGAACTAGAAGAAATATTGTGTGATTGTATGGTGTTAGACTGGTATTAGAGCTTGATTTCTATAACTTGGGGTGCTAGAGTCTCGATTGTTCAACCTAACCAGCTGCTGCAAAATTGGATAAGTGAAAAGAGGTTGCCGGCCACTTTTAAACTTGCATTTGCATTGCTATATCGCTTGTCCAGCTTTAAGATCTAGTCACGTCACAGAATCAATTAAATCAATTATTTAAGATGGGGACGCCACTATGTGCGTATTTTAACCCAAATAATAATTTTTACTAAAAGAATCCAGTGCACAAAAGGTTTGACCCGATCTCCCAATTAAATAGTCTACATGTAAATTATTTTTTTGAAAATATACTGGGCTGTATTGAGTTAGATGTGATAAAAGAAGTTACACATTCTTAATGTTTGTTGGCAGACATATTGAAACACACAAACAAAAGCAACCCAGACCACAGTGCCTTGCAAGCAGCAGCCGCGTCTATTCGTGAGGTCACCACTCATATCAACGAGGACAAGAGACGCACGGAAGGCCAGATGGTTATGTTTGACATCTTCAACGACATTGAAAACTGTCCGGTGAGTACACTGTAGCTTTTTATCTGTTTGATCTTTGACACAGAAATTGTGTGTTTTCAACTTGGAAGTTTGGAACTCTCCTTTAATTTTATTTTTATTGCTTTACATCCTGGTAACATTTCTCTTAACTGCCTACATGAGATTCCTTTTCAGATAACCTTAAAGGAGAGTTAAAATTAACTACTGAATCATGTAAAATACCTTGGAAAAACCCCCACAAAACATACAAAGATTAATTTTGATTAGTTTGAAATAGAAACCACAATTTGGAAAAACACTCTAAACCCCAATTTTTTAAATCACTTTACTTCAAAGATTTTTAAGATGACCTCACCCCCCCAGGACCACAATTCCTTGGCCTCCTGTTTCCCCAGTCCTCCAACACAAAAACCAACAGCTACACACAAAACTGACCCCCTGATCAAGTGCAATTGGCCAACTTTAAAAAACAGCCTTCTGTAAGCCAGCACACCAAGTTACTGTTTAACAACACTTTCAGCTACTCGCACACCATTGCCAATCTCTTCCTCTTCACAATATTTGATAAATTAAAAAAAGCTGCATATATCACAGGTTTAGCTTTGCAATAATTTGTTGGTATCACTGAAGCTGTGCAAAGCGAATGTGTAATTAATTGTACTGTTGAAAGATATTTGTCTCTTCTATACTATAGAACAACAATATACATTATTATCCGGTTATCTCCGGGTCTGGGTGACAAAGGTTGATGAAGTGAAAAAATAACCTGAATGTTACTGATTTTGCAGCCCCACCTAGTGTCGTCCCATCGCAGTTTCATCACACGTTGTGACATCACGGAGCTCAGTGATGGTCTCAGCGGACGCGGCGATGCACTTGCGTTCTTCCTCTTCTCTGACATAGTGGAGGTGAAGTAGTCAGTTTGGCTTTAGATAGAACATTATGTTAAGTATGAGTTTCCATATTCATAATAAGTTAATTCTTCAGTACTGGCAGTGAATGCGTTATTCAGCGGTATAGCTTTCTCATAAGATATAAGCCTGAGTATAATTATTCTAAATATTCATTTCAGACTTTTCATCAAGTTCTTGATTTTTTGTTCCTAGGTATGTAAAAAGCGCTCAAAAGCTTTCAACTCCCTCAAGAGTCCAAACACAGCCAAGTTGAATGGTCAAGACAAGACTCGCCCGGCTTCCTTCAAACACGTCCGACTGATGCCTCTCTCCCACATCAAGATGGTTATTGACATCACGGAGACTGAAGGTGATTGATTTACGATGATTGTTTCAATTTACGATAGTTTTTGGATCTTAGATAGAGATATATAGTGGTGGTTTGAAAATTGTTTCCTTTCTCTTACCTACCTACTATATAAAAATACCTATTTATGTTTTTCTAGGTACTAAAGTTGACCTTTACTTGTTCGTACTTGCTCTTTCACAAAATGTTAATAATTAGTCAGCAGATCATGATCATTAGTGACAGCTTTAAACTGGTTTTCTAGAAGATATTAGCTTGTCAAAGGGTCAGCAGTTGAGTTTGCTTACCTTTGCATAAACCAATCAATACTGTCCAAATGCTAAGCTAAAAATGTAATCTTTTTGTTTGCCTTATCAGCTTTGCCAACCCAATGAGAAACACATCTTTGGTTCTGTAATAGTCTGAGAAGTAATCTATTGTTGAAGGGTTTGAGCATTGAACTTTAGATAGCGAAGTCAACAATCGACATGTACCATTAATGTGGACCAGTTGTAGCCAATTTTTTACCAATAAAGAAAACGGTTGTTAAGCCCTGAGTGAGCTTAAGTCTAAATTAAATTTTCTGTTATTTTTTGTTACTGTAATTTTCATATAGGCCTATGATGTAAAAAATGACATAGATTATGATATCAACAGGGGGTTTTGTCCCTTCAGTTAGGGGTTTAAAAAAAATCTATTGTTGACAAAGTTTACATCTGCACTGTGTGAGCTCAATTCACTTGACTACACAGCTTTAACATCGAAATAGCGTTTCTACTTCTATCATTGATCAAATGGACTGTCCTTTAGTGTTTTATAGTTTTGAAAACTATTTGTTTCAGTCACCTAATCACCTGTCTGATTAAGAGTTCTGTTCATAACATTGAAGATAGCTCTTACTATATTCATAGCCTTAATTTTCTTCCCAGATTGTCACAACAAGTTTGCGTTGGTGGTGAAAAGTAACCAAGAGTTGAGAGAGAAGCGATACTCTTTCAGAATCACAGACGAGGGGACGGACAAGATGACGTTTCTGCGGACGTTGTGCCGTCAAATGGCCAACACACTTTGTAGGCCGGACGCGGTAAGACTCATTCAAGCCTATGTGTGGTAGCTTTTAGAACTGTTCAAAACTTCCTTGTGATTTCCAAATATCCTGTAAGTTTTTAAGCCATTATCGTCAATATTATTGCAGTGAGACAGGAACTCAATGGTTTTGTATTTTAACTGAATATGAGGAAGGATGGGTGTGGAAATGGAGTAATAACCCTGTTATTATTGACTAAGATTAGCTTTAGAAATAAGACCATTTTGTTAGAAGCCCAATCTAAAGCAGCTGTCTCCAGTTTTGAACCTTCTTAAAGCTATTGACTTTTTTCAGGAGCAAACAGGCCATGTTCGGAAATAGACTAGCACCACAACCCTGTTTCTCAGTCCTACAAAGAGTCCCCTTTTACCTAAAGGTTTTTCCATTTAACAACATTGAGTTTTTTGAGCTTTCTGGATAGGCTTCAACAGTCACTAATTGTAGATTTGAGTTCCCACAGGGTGTTGACCTTGTAATAAACAACGCAACAATACAGATGTTTCTACCTCGATACTTGCTATGACAACTGTGCTGAAAATCATTAATTAAAAGCTACTAGAATTCTCTCAGGATTAAACCGGCAAGCATTATCACTGCATCGTTAAGCTATCTAACCATTCAGCTATTGTAAGTTAACCACAGCTAACTAAAATTGACTTTACATTTTGGTATTATTTATTTAATCTTTTACAGGAAAACTTCTTGGCCTCTTTGAATCAAGAGGAATTGGACATAGACACAAGTGATATTGGTGTGGGAACACTAAAAAGTAAAGCGGCAAAGTAAGTGTTTTATCATTAGTACCAACCTGAATTGTAAGAAATAAAAACATAGTTGCCAAGACGTTAACGTTACTCTTTTGAGATTATTTTGTATCTTGTTTTTTAGGGATGGACGAGATTGGATTTTTAGTTCGAGACGAGACGAGACAAGATTTTTTTATTTCTCATAAAATTTCGAGACGAGATCGAGACGGGATTTGCCTTCTCATACACAACGGGAAATACACGTTGAAAATCTTTACCTGATTTTGTAACATTGTTAGATGACTGTTTAAATACAAAAATAATGATAATAGACAAGAATATTTACAAACTTTTATTAAAAAACATCAGCATAACATTTTTTTTATCAATCACGCCTAACATATTATAAATGCCTACGATTAGGAAACATAGTGATATCAGTTAGGATAGAGTTCAACTTATCCTAAAATAAATTAAATCATAAAATAAAAGTAATATTAATTTTTATAAAATAGTTACTTGTTTTGACTTTTTTTATAGTAATAAAACATTCCTTACACTTAACAAAACTTCTCTAATGTTATTAAAGTAATATTATTAAAAAAATTAAAGTAATATTTACATTTAAAGAAGTAATTAAACAAGAACGCCTTCGCAAAGGAAACGCAACTACAACGCGCTCCTGTATTGCGGGTATTGCATTGACTTTCTGCAGGCGTTTTTTTTTTTTTTTTTTTTTTTTTTTTTAATTCTTGTCTCGATCAAAATCTCGGCCAAAAAGAAATCTCGTCTCGTGTAACAAGATTTAAAATTTCCCGAAAATTTCCCGAAATTTCGAGACTTGACCATCCCTATTGTTTTTGTAAGATTTTCTTGTATTGTTTTTTATCTCCTGTCTTGTTTTTGTAGATTTGCGTCAAGGACTCGTATAAAGGTGGGACGAGCGTTCAGCTTCAACAAGACCCCTAACAAGCTGAAGAGGGCGATGAGCACAATGATGAGTCCGTTTGGCAGCACTAGTAACTTGACACCTGCCTCACAGTTAGCTCAGATGCGGCTGGCTAGTTGTAACAACCTCAATGTGAGTGGAATACTTTGTTTACCCTTTTCTTTAACTGGGAATGCACGGAATAATATATTCTGTTTATAATATGTTGATCATCGAAACAGGATTGCACTTGATTCAGGATTTTTTCCATCGTCATCAACCTCATGGCATCAGGGGTGACATTTCTGCAACCACCGGAAATATCAGTGGTATGATATCTCCGTGATTTTGAAAGCTGTTCACGATAGTTCCGAACCCAGGAGAATAATGATATCTCCATGATCACAGGAGATCTTCACACTGGTGCCGTGACCTCGAGCCATGTTCAAGATGGCGCCATGACTGCAGAAGATTTTCACAATGATATCATGATCACATAGATGACCCTGGGTTTCAGAACCATCGTGAAAATCTCCTGCCATTGCCAAGATATGATTCGTCACCCATAATACCAGCATCATTGTCACTTGCCACGTGGCAAAATCGCTGACGTTAAAAAATCCCAAATTTAATGTAATCTTTCCCGATGATCGGTAATGTGTTTTTCCTGAAAGTTACACAAAATTTCATCCATCTCTACTATAAATACAAAAATTAATACTTTAATGAGTAAGTTAAATCATTGAACTATGTTTTATGTTCTACAACTACAAATGGTTCTAATAGACCTCACTACCACTGGTCTACTTCAGTACAGTAGAACCTCACTAACTCAACACCCGGTAACTCAACAGTCTGTGTAACTCAACCATCAACAGCTGACTGGGCGCACGCAAAAATAAGCAACTTTTATGGAACATGTAGTGGTAATTTTAATTAAATTTATAATACTTGACATTTTAATGTTCTGGATAACTCTACAACGCAGAGTCCACAACCAAACTTGACAATCTCTGGGTCCACAAATAGTCAAGTTAGTGAGGTTTTACTAAAGTAAGTTCTCAATTACAGTCAGTGTCAAGTGTAGTATGTACTTTTGGTTTCAGGAGCTAGGATCAGCCACACCCCCTCCCCCTGCCGCTCCTCCTCTCTCAGTGCAGCCAACCCGACGAAACAAACACCCTTCTCTGTCTGTCGCGTCCCTGCGGCGCTTATGACACATCTATTGACCCACATTTTTGTAAGTATATTCTTTGTTTTCTGTTTGGTTATTGAACATCAGTTTTTCAGCATAGGATAACTATTTTAACTTTAGGTAAATGAACTTATTTCCTAATTTATTTAAAATACTTAGCGTAGGCAAAGTCCTTTGTAACTTAATTAAAACCAAAATTTCTAGTAGGAATGGATGGGATTGAATTTTTAGTTCGGGACAGGACAGGATTTTTATTTCCTTCCCGATTTTTGGGACGAGATTTTTTCCTGTGCATAAAAAGAAAGTCTGAGTATTGCAGTTACCAACATTTTTACCATTTGTGGCACTGATCCAATGATGATTCTACAATTTGCATAGTAGGTTTGTGTTACAGAGATTAATGCAGACATTTCCCATCTTGTCCGTTTATAACAATCACTGAAATACATCGACCTTCACTAAATGTGTCGTTACAATACATTGTTTGTTTCAGAAAGTGTGGGTTAGTCTCGGAATGTACATATGTATATTGGTCCGGCCGTCCTAGTTCTTGCTACTTCCACTATCTAGATCTGATCTAGTTCAAGGACAATACAACAATTAGGTGCTGTGTTTAACCGTTCCTGCCGATTGAGTGCTTTCTCGGTGCTTCTCTAAGAAGTTTATCGCAATACCTGTTATTGTAAATAGTAGTTTAAAGTTGAACAGTCCAGAAGTACGGAATGCAGTATTATAGTGATAGGTGTCGATTGTCTGTCTAAAGTAAGGTTTGTGAGTTTTTGTTGTAAAAGTGGATACGTCCTGAGATTTAATGAAAAAGAATAACAGGTATTTGGATAGGAGTTGACTGGAAAAAAGTGCAAAACTAGTCTCCATTAAAACAACTTGATATTTAAACTACATAACTGTGGTTTTCATATTGATAATGTTTATGGTCATAATTCTTACAACTGCAGTCATTTTTTAGTTTTTTATGTTTTTCAACCACTTTTACCTAAGGCATATGTTTTTTTTCTGTTTGCAATGCAATTACAAATTAGTATTTCAATCTACCTCATTTATGTATGTTTCAAAGTATTTTTAACTTCTGGATGTTTTCAACTTTGACTAATATCTAGAATCTGAAACTTAGATGATGTTCTTTATTATGGTGTTATACAAGTTTGTGGTTTAATTTTTTTACAACTTACAAAGGTGTTTGTATACAAAAATATATATTATTCAAAACTGTTTATCTGTTCAAGTTAATTTACCAAGTTCGTTAATTTTTAGTCCAATTGCTGAGTAAAAAAAAGAGTTTTTTGGTAATAATGATTTTAACAGTTTTGTCTATGTTTAGTTAGTTACTGCTCATAAATGATTGAAGACGGAAATCAAATTTCTGGAAAGAAATTTCTCAAGTATAGCCTTTAAGTAACCCAACATAGCCTAACTGATTAAAAATTCATTTCAAACTTTTGGTGAATAGCAAAGCCATTTTTAAAAGTGTGAAAATAAAAACAATTCTTTTGAGTATTTTACACTGTAAGAATTCTTACTGAATTTTATTTAATTTAATAACCTTCCCTTTTGTTCAGGATATCTTTTATTTACCCTTCATAATTATTCACAATTTAACTAGAAGATAGACCTCTGCATAAGTATGCTTTATCTGTTAATGAAATATTATATATAAATATAATTTAATTTATAGGACCTCTGTTAGGTTATGATGGGTTATTTATATTCTAAGGCTTTTTTTACGATTTGATTTCTTTTCTCATATTATTTCAATGAGTTTTATTTCTTCAGTTTCATTTTTAAAAGCCTACAGCAAACAGGCCTTAATCACAATATGAAAGCAAATAAGTCTAGTACTAAAACGGACAATATAAAACACAGTATTTTCTGTACTGTATCCAAAGCTATGTTGCTAGGTATAGTTTTTTACATAATATGCAACATAATTGACAATGTATATAAAATGCTACGGTTTTTAGTTTCTTAGTTGTGTAAATATTTAAGAACAACCCTTGCTCTCTTTTTAGCGAATTTCCCATTCAGGGAAAACCAGCTATTTCTAATTATTTGAGTTACAGTTATAGACTGTTATTACTGTATATTTTAATGACAATTGTTGTATTTTTAACCTTTTAACTGTGTATAGTAGTTTTAATAAGCTCTCTACTTCATAATCAAGTAAGAATTATAAAAAATGTTATATATTTTACAAACCTGTTATTGAAAGTATATGTAGGTATACTTTGACCACAAGTTGCTCTATGTTGAATATAATTTACTTATTATACCGGTAAAGATATTGGTGTTGATTTTAAGTCAAGTTTCTAGCTTTTTATGATAAAGGGATTAGTCATTTTATTTACAAATAATGTTAATGTGATTTCTATTTTGAAATTAGATTTGAGAGAAACTGAAACGTTTTTTTAGTATTCAGGTTATTTTCAATGTTTTTTTTAGGTACTCTTGTCTTTTATTAACTACATTAGGTTAGGTTAAGTAACCGAATTTTTAAATTAAAGTAATTGTATTTTTTATGTTTAAATAACCTAACCTAACCTATCCTGGTGTCGTGGGTATAACAGATAAAACCGGGTGAGTTCGGTGTAACAGAAAGTTACCTTTTTTTTATCACCTTTTTCAAATGGTTTTATAACAATACAATTTGATTATTCATTGAAATTAATTTGTGCGTATCATGATTTATTTGTAACTTTTAACAGTTGAAATTTAAAATATTAAAGGTTTCTTAAGATTTAAATATGGATGGAATTAGATTTAAAATTCTTAGATTTTACCACGAACACTGCAAAAGACCCGGTATGGATCATAAACATAAACAAATTATGTTTTTGGCCCGAAAGTAAACAAAACAATATGTTAATTAATGCTATTAGTATAGGGGTTTTGTTTACTTTCGGGCCAAAAACGCCATTTATGTTTATGACTACATAGGTATGCAATTCCCGTTATATGCTGACGTCACCCAGATTGCAAACACCAATTCACCATTAAAAAAAATAATAAAAACAATAACAATCAAATCAAAACAAATTTACTTGTATGGTAATACAATCAGGTGATCATTTGTTTGCAATCTGGGTGACGTCAGCATATGACGGGAATAGCACACCTATGTATTTTCCTTCCACCATGATCCATACCGGTTTTTTTCTAGTATTTGTGGATTTTACCTATTTGTATATTGAAATCTAAATCATATATTTACAATGGGTTGAGATTAATAGTTTAAGAAGAGATTAAAATTAATTAATACTTCAAACCTTAATTACTGGCAAAAACAAAATCTCAATATGTATACATTTTAATTCTTATATTTTTTGTACCAACCAATTTTTCTACGTAGCCTACTTTTTTCAATTTGAAGGCAGTTTGTTAACAGGATATTTGTGTTTTCTTTACCCACCTAACTAAAACTTTAAACATACAGAATTTCTATTGATGTTTACACGGTAAAAAGTATACTCTGTTATCTAAGTCACATATAGCGGTAATATTTAGCAGTATGAAGACTTGCATGTTTTAAAATTGCTTTTCTGTAAAACAATACAAGGCCCACCTTCCAAGCCAACATTTCGCTTATGAAATAAAATTTTGTTAGAATATCAAGTTTTCATTTATTTGCACTCTAGATACATTTTCATTTCATTAAATTAAGACTTGTACCTTTAGTTGTATTTGAAATAATTGTCAGTTTTCAACAGGGCATATTTAAACGTCACATTTTCATATTGATGAAAAAATAAGTCAGCCTTTGTGATGTAGATTTAGCTCTCTATGTGTTGTATTGTCTTTAACCTAATTTAGTATTTTTGGATTTTCTCTAACAGATGAATTTCTAGCAGCAATATTCAACTAGGGGTAAATTTGATTTGTGTGATACACATTGTATTTTATTTGTAGGATCACCATATTGTATTTTCTTTTGTAAAATAAATTTACATCAATTAAGTCTTATTTTTTTAATATGTCCCTTATGAAACATTCCATATAAAACATAATATGTATGTCTAATTACAACAGTGTTATTTGCACCAAATGTTCTTTTGTTTTGCATAACCACTGTTGGGAATAGACTGTGCAATTTGTGTGCAATGTGACTTTTTAGTGAATTTCCCATATACAGTAGACTCCCTCTTTTCCGGACACCTTTTAACCGGACTACAGCTTGACTGAAATTAAATCTCTTTAACCGGACAATTATTATCAGCACATTGGTTTAACCGGACTAGATCGGCATGAAGTGGCCGGTACTGAAGCGACTGTTCTTGTGGGAAAGATTTGAGAACAGTAATCCCATGTCTAAATACAATGCTCTCCTAAATTTAAGTCAAATATCACCGTAAACGGTCCGTTTTAATGAGTTTTTGGGGACGTCGGCTTAACCGGAAAACCCGTTATCCGGACTGGCCTCGGTCCCTAGGAGTTCGGATAAGAGGGAGTCTACTGTAGTGAATAAGACATTACCAAAGTTAAAGTGATGGTTGATGATAGAAGTGGTGAGAAGTGATGTTCATGTAAATTATCCTTCAGGCTCCGAACTATCGTTGCTAGATTTTTTGTCAGGGAGTTAAAATTACGCAAAATAAGTTTTTCACCCACAACTTATGTATTTGCATTTTGCAAATTTATCTCCCTTTAAGATTGAAATCCTCATAAAATGAAGAAAACACTGGCTATTTTCAACCATACAATTTTATTGAGTGCAATCCTAAAAGTTTTTCAATTTTTTTATAATAATCTTCAAAAAATTTTAACCTTGCAAAATTTGTCGAACATTTTTTATAGGCTTATGTTTTATGAAATTGAGGCCTATGATTTTCCAAACAAAATTATATGTAAAACAAGTTTCTCAGTCTGTTACATTTTAGTAAAACTTATGAATACAAACCTTTTTTGTATTCATTGATAAAACCAATTCTCCTTAGTCTGATAAAACCCTGCATGTGCAATACATAAACAATGGCCAACATCAAGAACTAGCACAGAAAACACACTATTATTATGTTTAGTGTATGTTTTCTGTGACCATTGACACTTGGAGGGATATATGTATGTGTGTAAGTTAAAACAAGCAAAAGTTATACAATTTGGTGAAATTTGGTACAAACATGTAAACATATGTTTATTCGAACGAATTTTACCTACTCAATAAACTAATATTATTGTAATAGGTATTAAATATGACAATTTTTAAGGAGATATTTTTGTGAAAATCTAATCTGGCAAATAGAAATTTTTCTGGAGTTTTGCTAGAAGGTATTTGAACATTGAACTTAACAATTTTTTTTTTAAGTGCCGTTTTGCAAACATTCTTATGGATAAGGAAACAGCTGATCTCATTGTCAACGAGGCTGAAATAATACTTTACCTAACCCGCCATGTTAAACTTCCCTATCCCAAGCGTGATGTATACAACTTCCTTACTTCTCGAGTGATGTAAAGTTGAAAAAAACTCACTCGGTGATGTAATGAAACCCATTTAAATAACATTGAGTGGATAACTGAAAAAATATACCTCTATGGAGCCAACGACGTTCAACGCTAGAAATCAGCTGTGTGTTTGAATTTTATTGTTATGCTTTGAAGAATTTTCCTAACCTAGCTTTTGTTTGTAAATGAACGTTACTGTTAGAAGATGAGTAAAATTGATAATGAAGCATATTGCTCGTGACCTCCTGAATATTGTCGGGTCAGGTAAAATCTTGTACGTTACACGTTACGCAAGAGCGTGTTTACATCACTTCGGTGAATTATGCAACTCGCCTTCGCTCGTTGCACAACATTCACCTGCGTGATGTAAAAACGCTCTTACTACACTTGTAATGTAAATAGCTATTACTCATATCTGGGTTAAAGCTCAAACTTTACAACTACATTATCCAATAGCTAAAAGTACTAGCTAGTACACTCAGTCACATCCATCTTTATTAGAATATACAGTATAGTAATATTAATAATAGAATGAATCAACAGATAAAAAAGGATGTTATCAATACAGCTCTTAGAAATCTTTAACGAGTGTTAAGGGTTACAATCACTACATCTTTGGACACACTAATATGTTTATTCATACATTTATTTTAAACTTAACAAACCAAATTATACACTGTATATATATGTACGACACATTTTTCCTTTCTATGCCATGGTGGAAGGAAAATCTATGCACTATGAAACCATTTTTCACATTAGATACTGTAAGATTATGCACTATGACATGCAGCCTGAAATTAATGTGTCGGCATTGACCTGAACAGCTGCATTTTATGTGCAGCAAAGCCGGACAATTTTGGAAAAAAAACACGCATAACAAAACCAATAATGAACATAACCTAAATTATTCTAGCCACTTTTCAGTCACGTCATAACATAAACATAACCTAAATTAGCGAGCGTGTGTTAATTTAATTTATTTATACGAGTTTTCAGTTCACTTTCACT